GCGGGCACAAATACGGATACAGATGGTTACTTTATGATACAAAGTCGTAAAACTCGAATTTTACTTTTTCCACGAACAGTTTACACGAAAAATTCACACGAACAGCTCACGCCAGTTTGAATTCGTGGGACAAGTGACGAGGACTAAATTTTGGTCCCTATGGCTAGATTTCTGACAAAAATGGCTAGTTCACACGAAGGGACTTGAACCTGCCGAATTGTCCCAGGAATTTGTCCCCTCGTGTGTGAAGTGGTAACTTTGAAATGAACTTTGAACTTGAACTTGAACCAAAGGTATTCGTATGGCAATAAAACGTGGCAATATAGCAACAAAACGTGGTGTCCAGTAATAAGACATAAATTAAATTCAGAAAATTATACATTGCAAGAAAAATAAACATTAATTAATACGCATATCTATATAAAAGATTTGTTTCGACGGATTACAGAAATATGTAGGGTTTTACGGACCGAGCTTTTTTTCTTTGACCGTGCTAAAGAGGTAGAATTCAGCTCCTTGCAGTTATTAAAGGTAATTAAATTTGGAAAGTGACTTTACCAGCGTTTGGTCTTGGTCATAGCAACTAAAGGCCCTTTTATGTGGTTTCGGGTACCCGACACAACTCTTCCCTGGGTTACGCTGGCCGAGCTAGCTTTTCACTTATTTCTTTAAAAAATTCAACCAACCGTTCGCTGCAACCAATCAGCTTCCACATAATACTAATCTATGAAAAGTTTCCGATAAATGCCTGCTACAACAAACTATGAGGGTTTAAAAACTCGAAGTTTTTGCCGCTCAGCAATTTTGCATCGTTAATAGTTCTCGCATAGAGCGCTTCTAAAGCTCTTTGAACTTTCCGAGTCAATTCGAATAAGACTTGTGTTATAACTGTTATAGTATAATTTTTCTCTATGCAACGTCTTGAACACAAGATTATAACCAGTAAAAGCACTCGCTTACAAGATTAATAATAATAATAATAAGATTAACAGAAAAACACTCTCACAAACAAGAAATTGTACCTGGAATATCGTCGAAATTTGTCGTAGGATGGAAGTAGTGCCTGAGCCCGTGAAACGCATTGATAGCGGCCTCCATATAGGACTCAGGCGTGAACTCAACCAGAAGTTCTTTAGAGGATCCCTGCTCCAGGGACGATACAATACAATTCAACATCCAGTGAACGTCGTTCTGTTTCTCCTAGAGTGATCAAAAATCAAGTTCTCCTTAGAATATCAGTATGACACCTAGCAGGCAGGTGACGAGAATAAACAATTTCGTCACCTAAGAGGCTGTATATAGAAGTGCTACTTAGTATGAGGGCTTCTCTCTCTCGCTCCCTCGAACGGTCTTTTACTGAGCGCTTATAATAGCATGTCCATGATCTTTGATCCCCACCCCTGTTTCGTGCATGCTTTAAATATTTCAACTTGTTCCTTATAGGCCAATTTCATTCTCAGAGCCCGTGCAATGTCACTCAGCGGAGACCAAATGCCTGGGGCTCTGGACAAATAAAAAACTGAAACCAGAAAAGTCCTGGTTCCGGTGTGATTATAAACTGAACATAACATGCTGGTTCACCTTCCAGTTTCTCCGAGAGGTCTTGATAAAACCTTTAAGCTTAGCCAGCGTAGCAAACATTCCCGGGCGAAGAGCATTTTCTGCATTCTGACCGAGCGCAAACTGGAGTGAGAGAAAAAAAATCCTCGAAGCAGGGGGTGGTGGGGTAGCTTGAACGGTTTGTTTCCCAAATTAAGACCATGTGATCACAACCTTGAGAATTCTTGCTTTCAAATTTTCAAATAGTCGCGTGTATTTGAATAAATAATTTATTGATGGACAAAAGAAAAATTCTCTAAAGAATATCACGTGGTCTGTGATGGGAAAACAAACCACCCAAGCTAAAAACATATAATATATTCTTAGTGCTGATCAAAATTAGGAATGCGGAGTCTGGGACGATATTGCTGCTGGGCGAGTGAAAAATAGCAATTTACGTCGCAAAAAAGGTGGCTTAGCTTTGTTAAAAGCCACAAGAAGCTTGTGAGCCACAAGAAGCTCGAGGCGTGATGCAGTCCTTGTACACAGAAACGAACCTTAGTGAAAATAAGGGTAGAAACCTTATTTATCCAAGCAATTACTGTAAGCAATTAAGTGAATTACTGTAAGTTTACTAACTTACATAAAAAAAAATCTGCACTGCCAATTATGATTTATGATTTCCTTGCAAAATTAACCTCAGGTACCTTCGTTACACTGATAAACATTCAAAAACAAATTAAGCAGTATAAAAATTTGCTGGTTACCTCGGAGTGGCGACATTTTCGTCCCTTCTCGATGGGAAGACGGTTGACAGGAACTAGTCAACATCCAGATCGCTCGAAGAGTCCTCGAAGATTTTCAGGACAAATTTAAAATCACCACTGCAACAAACGATTTTTTTCAGACGTGCATTGAATAATCGGTCTTAAATACTCTGTAAGAAAGGTATCGTACCGTTAGGAATCGAGGCTTGGATGGTTTAAGAATAAGAGATGTGCAAAAATAATTTTTGCAGACTTCACCGAGCCGCCATATTGGATGTTTGGTGACCAGGCCTTGGTCACGTGAGGTAAACCATTACAGGCCTAGCGGTCAAGAGCAGCGCGTGCGATTTACGGAGTATGGCAATTTCTAAGCACAGCTCCCGGGCAAAAAGAATGTCTCCAACAGGCTAGCAAACAGACTTATGATCAGATTTAAGGAAAGGCAAATACGTAAAACTAATAATCGCTATAGGGGTAGTCGACACGGTCTGCTCTCTCGCAGTCTGCGTTTTTAATACACTGAACCAAATCGTCGACGCGCATAACGGAAACGTTTTCTAGTTTCTTAAATGATTCGAGGAAGATTTAGAAATATTACTGGATACCAGGACTAAATAGATAAGCAACCGCAGAATACTCTGCCACTTTTGTTCTCGTTTCTTTTAGCGCGCATATTTTTGAAAGACGAGAAATTTTCGCATGGATGAATTAACCTTAGTGGCATGGCAGCTTCGACGGGACCTCGATATCATAACTTTGGTCAGCTAGCGGTTTGACTGTTAGCCCATCTGTACTTGATTTATCTGTTTCAACTTGAACATCAATTCAATTTATTGACACATCAGTTTAATTTATCTTTGACCCTCTGAATTTTTTAAGAGTTTTCCTGAGAAGAAAGCCAGTGTTGTGTTGTTGTTAGTTTTGATGTTTTATATTTTTGTTTTGTTTTGTCTTGTTTCGTTTTGTTTTTGTTTTTGTTTCTTTTTTTTGCAGACAAATGGCAATGTGAATAGTGCTTAATTAAGTGAAACCGCGGCTTCTATTGTACGTCATCAGGTGAGAAAAAAATCACAAGTTTAGAGCTATTGTTGTCGTCGGTAACAAAATCACTAATCAAAACAAAGCATTTTTCCTGCATTGATATCAGTTTAATCCTTGTATAAAAGGCTTGATGACGTTTCCTGGCCTTCTTAAGCTTGTAAAGCAAGGAAACGATCAAAAAATAGCTCCTTTTTAATGAGAAGCAACTCACTTTGAGAAAGTAAATGACCAACAGACGTGGTGTCGTGTAAAAACGTGAAAAGTCCAGAAGGAGAAGCTGATTAAACGAAAACGTTTTTTTTCTTTCACTTAAGAATGGTTAAAAAAAGGGTTGGGTTGAAAAAATAGGTCTGAGAAAAAAAAATCTTGAACACCAAAGGGAGACACTTAGAACAGTTTTGGAGTTGACGAGGTTTAATCAAGTAGACTGTCATTAAAATGTAATAGATGGAAATTCAATGAACGTGCCGATTCTATGAAAAAACAAAACAAAACAAAAAAAAGATAGTTTGTAGTTTTAGGCCCCGTCTACATTACGCTGGCGAATCTTGAAAACACAGCTTTTCTAACTGTCGACCGAACTTATCTGTCAAGAAAACGGAACTTTTCAAAAACGCTGTTCAGACCGGAGGAATTTGAAAGCGCCGGCTTTGAGTTTTAACATAAGCGGAAACATTTTTCAAAACGGAGCTTTGGAAAATATATATTCCCCAGCCGGAGCTTTACTCAAACACAAATCTAAATGACATTTGATACGTTTTCAGAGTGAAACCTTCGTTTTCAAATTCCTCAGTCCGGTGCATTGTGGACTGGGGCTTAGTGTTAACCCAAAGCATCTTGAAAACAGAGCTTTTCGAAAAAAGATGAGGTCACAAAAATCGTGTTCTTTCCCTGACATCATTATCGTGACGCCATCGTTTTCAAAAAGTTCCATTTTCAAAATGTTTTCCGTGCACACGGAAACGAAAAGCCGGCATTTTCAAATTCCTCCAGTTTGAATAGCGTATTTTCGAGAGCATCGGTTTAGTTTCATGACGGATTAGTGTGGAACGGTAGCTAGCCCAAACCGTAGAAATAAAACTCAGTTTTCAAATTTCTTCGGCGTTATGTGTACGAGTCCTAAATGTTTAACTTCTTTCCAGGCCTAATGTTGTAATGCCTAATATTTACTAATCATATGAAAACATTTTGCTCCGTTATATTTTTATTCTTTTGCAGTTAATGTAATTGTTTGTATGATTATTCAGGTTCGCGTCGCTTCATTCTGATTATTTTTGTGTGCTGTTGTTGTTTTCTGTTGTTGTTTTTCTTTTAAGCAGACAAATAATAACGTGAATGGAGCTTAATTAAAGCACGGCTTCTATTGTAGGCCATCAGGTGAGAAAAAATCACAATTTTAGGCTATTGTTGTCATCGCCAAAAACATCACCAATCGAAACAAAGCATTTTTCCTGCTTTGTTATTTTGATCCTACAGAGTGTATAAAAGGCTTAGAAGTCCTCGCTGAGACAGTTTGCTTAGAGAGCTATACTAGAATTCGAAACGCTAAGAAAAATAGAA